ATTCCAGGTTTATGTAGCCGTTACACATAGAGGAACTTGCAAAATTTGTAATAATATTTTACCGCAAGGAACTGAATCTGCTTGATGTAGCGATGTGATGTAATGATGCGATCACTAGCCTACATTGCATTGCCTGGTAATCCTATTGATGAATTTGTATATGCGTCACCGTAAGTGATAGGGGCTGCATGGGACCACCAGTCAATAATTATCGATGTCCACATCACAATTCCGTGAACATGTAATGATCATTATGGCTTCTTACTTTTACTGAAGGGCAAGGCAATTTACATAAGAACGACAAAATAAAAAAAATGAACTTAATGTGTGAAAACGGGAAAGAAAATCTGCATTAAAACACTAGGAGGATAGCGATTTCCTTTCTACCAATTAGGACGAACCCGTCATTTTGATGCAACTTGTGAATTGTTAAATATAGTTATTGTTGTGCTAAGATTTTTGTTACATATATAACAATGGATGCCTATATCAATGGATCAGATTAATATTTAACATATACAAAATATTTTCATTTTTTTCTTGCGAAGTTCTTGATACTCAGTAAATTTTAATTAATCAAATTCTCCAGAAGCTTCAAAGAAGTATGCACAATTATAAAAGGTGTTTCCCGCACACGATCCCCATACATATTTGTTGCAGGGCATGCAGATGTTCCTGTACTTGTTCGTGCCATTACATCCTCCTATCTGCCTCTTGTAAATGTCGCTATTCTCAAGAGTGCTGATTGCTCGGGGAATAATTTCCTTTCTTTTTGTCACGGAGATATATGCTAATTCTTTTGATGATAATTTGAAGATTTCATATCGCGGAGATATCTTCTCTCCCGTTACCTCCCTGTATAATACACATGCATTGATTACCACAAAATCCAGAATAATGAAAAGTACGTGCCCCCACCGACATCCGAATTTCACAGTATACAAGCGCGCTGCTTGTATGTCAACGAAGTACGTACGTTGACCACACAAGTATGTCAACGAAGCATTTCTTTCATTATAAAGGTGTACAGTCACTAGAAATTTCTTGGAGCGGTTTTAAACAAATATTGCAGTTTAATGCAATTTACTCAGAATCACGTTTTTGTTTACTTTTCCCTAATAGAATGTCAAAGATGCGCGATAAAAACCTAATATCCGTGAAAATGACGGGTCTTCCTGCTTTTAGTAGTATTTGTAAATATCGTAGTTAAATTTCAGTGTACATAGCTATTTTTCTTTAAATATGTAGCAGATGTTTAAATATTAAAAGCTATAAGACACTGAATTTACAAACACGTTCTACATTGTTGACAATTTTAGATAAAAAGAGTAGATCACCCATCAAAATGACGGGTGCCTCCTAGTGTTAACTATACGGAAGTAAATCTTGAGGCCACCCAAGAATTTTCTGTATGGATCAAGGAAAACTCGTACAAAAATACGTTTCTGATTAGCAACGAAGGCCAAAAATAACTTAATATCTGTTGCAGATTCTTTAGAAGCATTAAATTGAAGAAACACGTTAATTTCTGATTTAAAAAACGAATTGTCATTGGAAGAAAGAAAGAATATTTTCGATTCTAATTGTCAGTGCAGAATACAATGTTCAATTGTAGCCGGTCACAGAAAGAAAAAATATTTGATATTTAAATTTTTTACGTTTTCATGTTCTTCATATAATCTGGTAAAGCGTTTTAATAGTATACAAGAATAGTAATGGAATCGTTTGCTCTGCTTGCTTGGTACCGACACCTGATAAATACTACGTCGCGTGTTAAAATGATACCTATCTGTGTTGCATGGACATATGTACTCCCTCCGTTGAGTAAACCAGTCTTAACTAAAATAATTGATTGTAAATGACACGGAAAGGCAACTGTAGTGTTTTAATTGATGTATTCGTAGAAATTTCGTTTGTACCCTCAAAATTCTAAATAAAAGGCGATGTGTTATGGCATTATAAAGATATGTATGTACAGCCCCAAAACATACAAACCAAGATTCATATGGACTGCTTAAAGTTGAAAGAAATGTGAATTCCTAACACAATGGACCTAAATTGCTGGATGCGCATTGAATTGTATATTTATATAAACTGGATGCCACTCAATTGCCCGTTAAAAATAACATCCGGTCTGCAATTGGAAAACCAAATTACATGTTAACACTCCTTAGTTCATTATTAACTTATTATTACAAAACTTCCTAAATGGCATTACTCACCTTTCCTTAAGAACATTCGCTTTTATAGCCAAAGACAAATATTTTATTTCCAGAAGGATGTGTACATACATTTACTTACAGAGGAAAAAGAATTGTACGTTATCCCATATTAAATTGGGAAGCTAAATTGGCTACAGTAACATTCTCTTATGACAATAACCTTGTGATTGACACCTTATGATCAATTTTAAATGTAAGTTGATACGAAAGGTAATGGTAGGACAATACAACGAATATCGCTTATACAACGTAGGACGGATAAATAAAATTGGTGCAATTAATAATTAAATACAATCGGTGCTCTATGTGCGTAATTAAGGTAACGCGTTGTACAACGGACGCTATTTGTGCCACGTTGTGGAGTGTTACCTGGTGGTTACCTTCAACGCACCTTCAACCTTTCGTTCTGCTGCGGGACAGTTGCCGCCGCAGCCCGTGTCTGCGTAGGGCTAGAACGCATTTCTCTTTCACCATTCGTTCCTTGTCAGTCCTGTTCCCGTTTCCTTCGTAGCCATGGAGACGGCGCGAGGCGGCTGCCGACGGTTGGGCGGTTGGAAAATGTGAGTTCGCTCCCAGCCGGAAGGCAGGCGCGCGCGGTGAGGGCGGGGGGTGGGCGTGCAGTGTCTCGCTCTTGACCCTCGGACGCGCGGCGGAAAGCAACGGGATTCGATTGTGTGCGAAGGACGCGAAAGGAAAGAGAAGTAGGCGTTCCCTTTTCATATCTAAAAGTTAATAAGATAATCCAATAACTGATATAATTAAATGGCTTTTTAACAAATGAATAATTATTGTCAAGAATTACTTGTTTTTATTACAGGCGCTGTATTGTTTACAAATTTACATTCAGTTTCAAGCTTGAATTAATTAAGAATTTTATGATATTAAATCCCGATTAGGATGAGAACGTAACCTACTGTATATGTAAATTTGTGAAAATAAAAAAGTCTAATAACAAGGTAGCTATGATTTATACTACTACTACTACTACTACTACTACTAACAATAATAATAATAATAATAACAATAATAATAACAACAATAATAATAATAATAGTAATAATAAACAATAATACCTATCCAATGGCCAAGATTGCTAAGGCAGTAGTGCCATAGCCGTCTCGGACCCGGAGATCGCGTGTTCGAATCCCGCCGCAGGCATGGTTGTGTTGTGTGTGTATTCCTGTGTGTGTCTGTGTGTCTATTTCATCATCCATCATGATCATAATTTCATCCCATCCCTCAGGGCTAACAACCCTGGGACATAAAAATTGAATCGGTATTGAAATGCTGATTTCCCCTATTGAAAAGTAAAGTGCACCTACCCCGACTATCAAGTCTGAGCCCAGGTGGGATGCACGTATCGCGTGGCCCAATGAGGGCCCATTCGCGAAAAAAAAGAAACAAAAAAAAAAAAACCTTGGAAACCAAAATGGTACAAACACGAGAAAACAATAATTGTATCGTCAAAAAAGAAATGGATTTGGGTACAGACACATTTACGGAAGAGAAAACTTCCACAGCACTCTGAAATACGACATACAAAGTGGAGAAAAATTTATTCGACAATTAAAATGTTATAAATACTTAAGAATAAATTTAGAAAATGTTTGGATATATTATAAGGTTTACAAAAAACTATCAATTCATGTTTGTTGAAAAGAGGTGTCGTTGGCTACATGGTGTGAAGTACTTTTCAGCAAGGCACGACGTGATGAGGCAGGCTATGCACGAGTCGCCTAGGCGATCAGCCATCGCCCCCCCCTCGTCACCGGTCACCGCGCGCCGTGCCTCGCGCCCTCGGACGTCGCGCGATTAACAGGAACTTTTCCGCTTTTTGTGAAAGCCTCCGCTCAACAGCAGCTCGGCCACCGCTCGCAACTCACGCTCCGGCGTCGCGCACCTTGAACTACAGCGCAGGGCTGTATCCGATAAAATAAAAATATCTGGAAACGGAGATTTATAAAGGGAAGAGGACGCAAAAAGTATAAATCAAAATAAAAACGATCCGAAATATCTTCCCCGGCGGGAGTCTTTGCTCGGCGGTCGGAGCGCGCGCCCCTCCAACGGGCCAGCCCCCGCCGCCTGCGCCGCCCCCTGCCCCGCTCGACCCCGCGCTCGCGCACATTGCAATTCGCTCTCTCCGTCCTCGTCCTCTTCTCGTCCTCGTCTCCGCCGCCGCGCCGCTTCGCCGCCTGCGCGCCCGCAGAGGGCGGCTGGTTGGCTGCGCCGACGTGCCCCGCGCGCCCCACCTGCACCGCCCCGCCCCGCCGCCGCTCCGCCAGCCGCCGCTCGATCTGGGAAATTCAGAAATTCCGTCGCGCTCTCGGCAGGTGCCAGTCTGCGGCAGCCGCTCCGTGGCTGCGACGTGGCCGCCGATGGGCCGCTGTGCGCCGCCGTGTGGCCTGTTCGCCGCCGGTGCGTCGTTCGTCCGCGCGTCCTCGCCGTCGTGCTGGCCCCCCCGCCCTCGTCGCGCCCCTCGGGGCCGCCGGCCGCGCCCCGCCCGCCCACGCGCTCGCGGCGTCACGCCCGAGGTGAGCCGCGCGCGGCGCACGTGCCGAGGAGTCGCGGCGCGAGCGCCGCGCAGCCGTGCCCTGGATATGGCTCGCTGGGCCAGGGCGGCGGGGGCCCGGCGGTCGCTCCCGCCGCCCGCCGCCCCCGGCCCGCGCCCGGCCCCGCCCCTCGGGCGGCGCGCCCGCCTCCGGGCCCTCGTTTCGCGCTCGCCGCTCCTGCGTGACGGCGCGTCCGCGTGACGGTGAGCCGCCCTCTGTGCCGCCGACCATGAAGCCGACGGGCAAGAAGGCGCTGGCCGGCGGCGCGGCGGCCGGCAACGCCAGACGCGCGCCGGCGCCACTGGCGCCGGCGACAAGAAGGACGGCGGCGCCGGCAAGGCGACAAGAAGGATGCGGCGGCCAAGCGGCGGCGACAAGAAGAGTCGCCAAGGGCGAGCGCGCGGGCGGCGGCGCGGGCAGGCGGAGCCCAGAGCGCGGGCTGGCCAAAGCCGGGCAGCGCGGCGCCACCATGCGCGACGCCGCCAACAAGGGGCTGCTGCTGGCCAGAAGGGCGAGTGGCCCCGCCCGTCGACGCCGCCCTCAAAACCTGAAGCGCCTGGTGGCGACGGCGGCCGCCGCGGGCGACGACTCCCACGCGCAGCCGCTGGCGGGCGTCATGGACCCGGTGAGCCCCTCTTGCTCTCGGCATACCCGGTATTGACTAAAATAGCAGTGACCCAAGGAGAACAATCATTACACTTTTCTACGTGTAAACATTTTTTTAAATGTGCTGGCCCAAAAGCTTCACGAAACTAGCCTTGTGTTTGTTGGAACGATGTAAAGGAATAAAGCTCGTTAGACACAATATTCTAGACGAGTAACTTCCGGAGGAGTCAGTTTCTTTAAGGAGATGGGCATATTGTATTCCCCGAAGAAACGATTCCTTTACCAAGTACTAGCATCCTTTACGCTTTGCCATTGCGCATCCACTGCAAGGCTTAGTTCAAACGCCTGACCTAAACGCCGCACCAAACACTGTGTCCATGCGCTTCATCGTAGCGCCTCGCACCCACATTGCACGCTCATTTCTGAAGCTCTCGACTTCGTCATTCGTCTCTTCACGCCTCGCGATCATGCGGGAGACTTACACCTCTTCTTCCCAACTTATTCTCATTGCTTGGGCTTACTATTGGGCCTCCGGCTTGAGAATCACGACGTTCCTCAAAACTAGGCAGTTCACTTCAGTCTTACACCTTACCACTACGCTTCATTCCAGAGAGTCACAAGCATCACATTTACACAACATTCACACATCGCTTTCATACCTGACTCTTACACCACGACTTCAGGCCACGACGCATTGGCGGTACCCTACAGTTAGCGTGAGCTCACGCGAGACTCCATTACCTCTCCCTCTCCAGCCCTCAGTCTCCGATTCTAAACATACTTTGGAGAGAGGAGTGCATCAAGAGAGCGGGAAGAACCAGATGCACCATCGCTAAGAAGCCTGCGGTGCTTCACGTCCTGCGTGACATGCGGCAGATGTGGTCTTCACTGTTAGTTGGTGAAGTACCATGTGACAGTCACGGATTTTTATTTTTTCAAGGTGAGGGAAGTGGTTGAATGTGATTCAGAGGGAAACGGAAAGCGCAGTAACGGCGTGGCATTCGGGGATTCCTCGCACTTCCATAAAACCTCAATGCATTGGTTGTGGAATGTATGGTTCGCTGTACCGAGGAACAAATCTTCCCTAAGTTTCGTACGACTGCAAGATCCTCGAATCATTGCTATTCCTCGCATAAACATTACTGTTATTGAATCATCTCGTGACAGTTATTTGATTATTGGCCGATAATTGGATTTTGTAGAAATGGGATGAATGAAGACGTCCACTTTTCAAAGGAAAATTAATCAAGCTATCGCGTGTACGTGAAACTAAAATAACAATCATCAGAGTTCCATGGCAGTCGTAAAGGAACAGAACAGGAATTGTATTGCATTTTCTCGTTCAGACAGGTATAATGAACGTAGATTGCTGTTTTTGAAGTATTGGATTTATTATTACGAGTTGCCAGGGATGGTCGGATGTTGAGAAAAGTTGAGAGATATTGAGCCAAATTGAGAAAAGCACTTTCTTCGCGATGACCACAGTAAGAACGGGGTGCTTCAGAGTGGAATATGGTTGATTGATTGTTAGTGATTCTGGGCGCGTCAACTACGAATGGTATTAGTTCCGTAAGTGTAGTGCATGCTCTTCTTCTTCTTCTGGAAGTCGTAGTGATCTTCCCCCACTGGATGGTGAGATCCGGCTCCGAACTACCGTAGGCTAGCGAGGATTTTCAAAGCAGGTATCCCCCCACAAGAGGGGCACCGCCCTGCCGGGAGAAGCTCTATGTTATCAACCAGTCTCCTGGCATCTGTGATAGTGTAGTGCATGTAAGGGGCGAGGATTGTAAAAGGAAGAGGAGGAAAAGATCGCGTGGGGTCCGTAGGCCTTTTGTTACGGTACTGCTCCAGCACTCACCTGGTGTCGATAGGAGTAACCACAGAATTAGTACCAATCAGAGGAGCCGGCCACTAGAATTTTCCATAATTTAACGACTGAATTCGACCTAGCTATTTAGTTAGTGTCCAAAAACCTGCCACCGTTGTGACTCGAATCTAGGACCTTCCGGTCAGTGGCACTGCTGTGGTATTAGTTCCTGCCCTGTGCCACCTCTCTCGGTTTCAGTTTAGAATAGTTCGTAACATGGCGCGCCCCACCTCCACAGGATGACAAGAACAGGACGTGCATGTTGCATGAAGTAGTTTCTTAGAGGGTCAATGATGCTAAATGTGGCATACTTCTTTTTCACAGATGGTGGTAGATGCGAGTTAGAACGAAGAAGGGTAGAAGGAAGTTAACATTGCGATCTCTTTAGCCGAATTACTAAACTACGTTCGTGAAGTCACGGAAGTTAAGCAACTCTAGAAACCACGAATTACCGGAGAGGTGGCTGGGAACCCCGGTTATTAACGGTTGATTGATTCTGGGTGATTCCGGTCGGGTCAACTACTAGGGTCATTAGTCTCGTACGTGTGGTGCACGTTTTTTTGCTAGGGAGGTGGCAGTGATTCCCCCGCTGTATGGCGAAATCCAGCGCCTATCTACCGTCGGCTAGGGGGATTTTCCCCACCAGCGCGGCATTGCCCAGCCGGGATAAGCTTAAAGTTCCCCCCAACATCCTGGCATTTGTAGTAGTGTAGTGCATGTCAGTGTAAGTGCGTGTAAGGGGTGAGGGATGAGGAAAGTAAAATCGCGCGCGCTCCGTTTGTTAGGCTACGGCACTCTCTTGGTGAAACGACGTAAAACTACCGATCAGAGTAGCCGGCCGCTAGAATTCTCCTCCAGACAGCGACTGAATTCGACCTAGCTGACAAACTAGTGTCGAAAATCCTGCTACCGTCGAGACTCGAACCTAGGACCTCCCGTTCAGAGGGATGGCAGTGACAATAATTGATGCCCTCAGCCATCTCTCTCGGTGCCGAACCTCTGGCCGAAGGCATAAAAGTCATTGAAACAGACGTTTCGAGACGGAGGATTAAACGAAGGATTACTCCAGATATAGATGAGTTAATCTAAAAAGCAACCACTTTGACAGGTTGGGAAAGAAAAGCACGTTATGCGGGGCGATGATGTTGCAAAAGATAGTGGAGATATTTTCAAATTAGTTAACTTTAAACGAACGCACTGACAAAATGAGTGCATGGACATAACTTGCAGCTATATTGTCAGCAGTGCCCAAACAGAAGCTGTCAAAGCGGTCCCTTCGTATAGTAATATCTCTATATACCATATACGCTCAATGCTCAAAAGGGCTAAGTTATGTGTTGCAAAAATCAGCGTAATAAATTAAATAAGTAAAATACCACAAAAACATAATTCAGCAAAGAAATAAGTGCATGAGTGCTGGAGGGTAACTGAAATCCTTCCAAACACAGTGCGATGACATTCGAGTGGAGTACATGAATCACGGCTATAACTGCCACAACAACACACACAAAAATAAATTAAATATATGAATGTAAACGATATTAAATAAATTGTTTGTAACAATTGTAAAATTATTGTCTAATTGTCTGCAATGTATAATTTGTATTATGAAATAGTTTGTACGCATTTGTAACAGAGTTTGTACCGTAATTGGGTTATATTTATTTGCCGAAAAAGTCCTAGATTACAACCTCGACCTCGAACTGACCGTAGAAAAGGTGCCGATGTACACCAGGCAATCACAAGTTTTCAGCAGCCTGATACTTCTGAAATTGCTGTATTAGAACCTAATATGCAATGAATATAGTGTTTCAAAAACGTCAGACCCGAAAATTATTTTTAGAATGACAGCAATAAAAAAGTCACTAAAATTCATTGTGAATTGACCCACAGTAGGGAGCCAAAAATGCAGTTAGTGGAAACACTGCTTATAGACCGTGGCGCGCAAATTCAATCGAAAAAGAATATCGAATTATTTGTAGGGTCAATTATAGACAGATATACATTTAAAAACTGTTACTTCACATAGTATTTACTTTAAACTTTTTAAATAAGCGTAATAATATTACAAAGTTAAATACATTTTTAATGTTATTATGTGTAATTGTATAAAAATATAATCTAATACGATTTTTTAATTTTTTTTCAAAGTTTTGGTTCAATATTTTGGGACCGTCTTTAAAAGAGATAATTAATACTATATTAAAAGTCTCTAGAAAGAAATGCATGTGGAATCGTACATTTGTCAATCATGACGTCGATTTTAATACGTATGAACGTCCTCGTGTAAATGTGGAATTTCAAAATTTACTATCCTAGAATATTTGCCGCAGTGTTCTTCCAAATAAAATTCAGCATGTCCGCGTTGACTGGTTTTAGGGAGGATTATTAATTTAATGTACGTTATTCTAATTAACCTCATATCACAATTGAAATCACTATAGAGGCAGAAACACTTAATCAAGACACGGTGAATCGACAAAGACATACTTTGTGAAAAGTACGTATCATGGAATTAGCCTTACAGCTATTTGAAATGAACATGCAAAAAATAATTATCAAATTGATGAAAAATTCAAATTGATGATTCATTTTCTTGGCACTTGCTTTTCCTAAAGGATCAAAATATTAATTGAACATTAAAAAACGCGTAACATTCTTACTGCTTGAAGTTTGAATAACAATAAAAAGAATAAATCGTATTTGTGCTGAAAAGACACTATAAAACAGTTGTTAGAATGTTAACTACTTGGCGTAGAGTGTTAATTGAATACCCACACTGATTTAACCAATGGATGGTGGAGACAATTTGGAATGCACAAATGGTTCTTCCCACTTGTGCAACATGCATATATGGATGCAATACCATTCTCTGGACTGTCACTGAGCCCGCCAACGGCATTTGATCTCGGGCATTCACGTCCACTATGCAAAGCTGCGAAATTGTAAAATGCAAAAATTCATTTATTGCGATTCGGGGGACTATTTTTAGTCTTGATTTACAGCACCAATACCCGTAGAAGCGTGGGAGGAGGGCGATATTGGAACTTCCTGTCCATTACGGTGTATTTGAAATAATTTTATTGAGAAAAGTGGATGCAAAGTATTTTAAGAAATAGTTTTGGTTAGGGAATTGTAGTGATGGAACTATT